CTCAGGGAGCCCTTCCCCAGAGACCTGGTAGTGGCCCCAGGCCTACCACAACCGCTGGGGTGAGAATATTCTAGATTACCCCCAGTGTTCCCAGACAGCACACACGGGGGACCCACTTCCTCACCCAGCAGGTGCTGGCAGGAACCCCAGCCTGGCTTCCTCCAGCCCAGCCTGGCAGGCCCCAGAGTTGAGCAGGGCCTGGGGCCCTGGTAGCCTCAGAAAGGGGAAGTGGAAGCCTTGGGTGTGAGAGGGACAGCCAGGCCTGAGACAAGAGGCCCCAGTCAGGCCCCTGGGCGGGTCCCTGTGCCCATACCCACCGGGGCAACCATACCGCTGCAGCAAAAAAACCCCAAGCTCACAACCATGTCTCCCAGGCCAGCCGGCTGCAGGCTGCCTCGCTCGGCTCGGCCACAGGCAAAGGTTTTGTCTGCTGCGGGGGGGTCTCACATTCATGCCATCTCCACGGGAGACCCTGAGCTCCATGAAGGTAGTACAGCAGCTGCCCTGCCAAGCACAGGTCTGGCACAAAGGGGCACCTGGGAAACCAGACGGAAGGGCAAAGGGATTCCAGCCTGGCTGGTATGCAAGGCCTCTTTGGCCTCACCTCTGGGCCCCCCAGTGCCTGGCAGCCTTGGACCTCTGCACCTTTGCTCAGGCTGCTGCCAGACCTCCGCCCCATGCCCCCTCCCCCGGGCACCGTCCAATTCATTCTTCAAGGCCCCCTCAAACGTCACCTACTTGGGAGGTCCCTGCTCAGCATTCAAGCGTCACACACCCCAGCAACGGCCTCACCAAACTGTGATGTAGGATGTGTGTGTCTGCATCCTGCCACCAGGCCTGGCAAATGGTTGTGGAATGGATGAATGAACAGATGGACGGACGGATGGAGGGATGAGCCAGTCAACCAGCTGGAATCCTGAACCAGGTAGAAAGGTGGGGAAAGCAAGCAGGACAGCGGTGGTGAGGAAGGAGAGAGCAAGACCGCTGGGGCAGGAGGAGAGGAAGCGGATGCAGCAAGGCCTCCCTCAGCACGGGAAACACCTGCCAGCAGGCCTCACACCTCTCCCCAGGTGCACCTGGGCCTGGGAGACCGGGTTCTGCTACCCACCGGCTGTGTGGGTGGCAGAGGCACCACATACTCAGGGCCTCGGTATTTTCATCAGGAAGCTGGGGTGCTGGTAACCAAGTCATCGGTGACAGGTCAGGCTGGTGGGGGAGAAAACCCGCAAACAAGCTCAGAGAAAAGGCCCAGCCCCAGACCGAGGAAGCCGTATAAGATCACGGCCCAACTGTGGGGTCTTGACAGGAGAGACAGGCAGAGCGAGAAGGACTCCCCCAGAACCCCCCATCCATCTCCTGGGGCAAAAGCTGAAGTTTCTCAATGGCATCAGTGCCCAGCTAGAGTCCCCTGCCAGACTCCACCCGGCACGCCCTCCCTCCAGGCCTTCTAGCTGCTTGGCCCAGCTGTGAGCTCTGGGGTGACATTAGGATGAGTTTCAGTCACTGGAGTGCCAACTCTCTGCCAGATACTATTCCAGGCACTTCACCCTGCCCAGCAACCAAGAGGTGAGGGTGACTCTCAGCCCCCTTCCAGGCAAAGGATGCAAGGCTCTGAGAGAAGTGTGGCAATTGTGCCCAACATCACACAGCTAGGAAGCATAAGAGGCAGGATCGTGAGCCAGGCTGGCGACTCATGCCAGGGGCCAAGAAGAAACTCTGCTCAGGACACAAGCTTCCCGAAGACAGAAAGCACACCTCAGGCCCTCAGCCCCCTCAGGGTGTCTGCAAAGGCTCTGTATACAGTAGGTGTTCAGGCAACAATGCTTAGGTAACTGACTCACCAACTGGGCTTCCCTGTTAGAAGGAATATCAGTACTTCCCCAACTCATGCTTAAAATTTCACCATCAGTGACTCATTCCTTTAAGCACTGCCTCACGAGGCCCCCCCCTTCAGAATGGAAACAGTTTCACACCCACGTTTAACACATCTGATCTCTTTCCGCCAATAAGGAGGAACAGGAAGGGGAAGTCAGGCTGGCCTTCGGGACCACACATGGTGCTTGCCCTGCCCAGGATGGCATGACAGTAGGTGTCTACTGACCTCACGCTGTGCCCAGGGCCCAGTCAGGGCAGCTCCTGCCCCTCACAGCCTCAGTCTCCCCACCCAGACAGTCCAACAGTGACAATGAGGCACGAATGGGAGTGGGAGGTGGGAGAAGAGACCACCTCACAGACCCACCAATGGGTGTAACCAGGAGTAGCCCCTGTCCTGTTGTGGGGCAGAAGGACAGGCTTTTGACTCTAACTCCTGCACTGTCAGTTACTTGCATAAAGAGGAACGAGAGCAAACCAGATCCATAACTTATGCCAGAATGATTTCCAAAGCAAGCAAGAACCCATGGGAGGATTCTCACATAATGTCGTAGTGATACGGCCTTTCTAACCTGACACAAAACCCAACAGCCACAAAGAAAAGAATGATCTATTGAATTACATAAAAAGAAAATATACTACATGTTACAAACCATCAAAAGCAAAATCAAAAGATGAGTGGCAGATTAGGAAAACATATTTGCAGTTCATATTGCAAGGAGCTAATCTTCCTCATATGTAAAGAGCTCCTACAGATCAAAAAAAAAAAAAAAGACCAACAACCCAACAGAAAAATGGGAGACGGATGTGAACAAAGAGTTCACATAAAAGGCACTACAAACGGCTCTTAAACATCTGGAAAAAAGCTAACCTCACCCGCAATAAGAGAAATGCAAATTGAAACTACCGCAAACAACCATTCTGACCTATCAGATTGGCAAAAAAAAAAACACCAAAGCATTTTATAGGTTTTTGTTGGCCAGGTTGTAGGGAAATAGGCATTCACATTCACTGCATGGCAGGAGTCTGACTCAATACAACTCCTGTGGAGGGCAATTTAGCAATATCTAACCAAGTTCCTAACAAGCACGCATACCTTTTGACCTAGCCAATCTACTTCAAGTAATCAGCCTACAAACACTCTCACGTGTGTGAAACGACCTGCGTACGAGATTATTCATTAAGGCACTATTTGTAATACCGAAAGGTTCAAAACAACCTATGTGTCTATCAGGGGCTGGTAAAATAAATTACGACAGACCTTTTCAAAGGAGCCCTGGTGTCGCAACGATTAAGTGCTCGGCTACAAACCGAAAGGCTGGCAGTTCAAACCCACCCAGCGGCTCTGCGGGAGAAAGACCTAGAGACCGCTTCTGTAAAGATTACAGCCAAGAAAACCCCGTGGGGCAGTTCTGCTCTGTCACACGGGGTTGTTATCAGTTGGAATCAACTCGACGGCACTCAACTACAGCAAGAACAAGACTCTTATAACGGAATACTATGTGGCTGTCAAAAAGGGTGGATAGCTTCTCACGGGGGATCCTGGGAGAAAGCCCCATGGTAAGAACAGAGATGGACTGAACCAGGACATGGAAAAACCAAATCTTACTTCTCACTTTTCACTTCGTTTCTGTTGTCACAATGTAGTTTCCACAATTGATATTTTAAACAATTATAGAAAATGCAAAGCCCAGGCCCATAGCATTGAAGTTGCACGACCCTGGCCAAGTTTCCCTCTCTGTGCTTCCTATCCTCATCTGAACAAAGTGGAGAACACCAGCCCAACACACAGGGCTCTGAGGGGCTTCGATGGGAAAACACAGGCAAGAGTGCCGTCTTCCTGCCCCCGGCACCACACCCCCACATCTAGCTGGCAGGCATTATGATGCACATTACCAAGTCGGCAGGAAGGGCCATGAGGGGCAGAAGTCAGTGTGCGAGAGCCTGGCCCTTCCCCGCCACGCCATCACGAGCCCACAGCACTGAAGAGCGTCGAGAGGCCCAGCCCCCACTCTCCCTGGCCTCTGGGGCAGACAAAGCAGTAGTCAGCACCTCAGGACAGCTTTCCGGGACCTGGGCGGTCATGGGGGCTGACACCCCGAGCAGTACCTAGTTGGGCCTCTAGGGAACAGTGGTGCAGTGAGACCCAGGGTCAGGCAGAAGTGGGGATGTCGGCCTGGGAGCTCCAGGTGGTGGGGTCCAGACCCCAGGCCTTCCAGGCTTGACGACAGGAGAGAAAGCACAATGCCCAGCCCTCAAGATGTGGTCCTCAACCTCTGAACCCAGCTGGGGTGACAGAGAGGGCAGAAAAACATGAGGCTGGCCTCCCTGAGACCTCTGCCTCTGGCCTCCCTCCTCTGCCAACGGCATTATGTGCACGGGAGCAGTGGGTGAGAAGCAGCTCTTGCCCAGTGAGCACCTGCTGAGAACGAGGCCCTTCCATTCCTGACCCCCCAAGGGTAGGTGTAGGGGTGCTCTCATTCCACTTCTCAACAGGGGAACCAACTCCAGGAGCCTAACCCACGTTTCCAAAGCCCCCTAGCTGGGGAGCAGTAGAGCTGGGATTCGAACTGGGCCTGCCCCACTGCAAGGCCCAGGCTCTTAACCCCTCTACCCGTATTTCCTGAGACACGCTCTGCCCTACAGGGGGCTGTGAAATGCCGCACACATACAGCACCACACAGCCACACTGGTCTCAGTCCCAGGCACTGCTGCACTTGACAGCCTCCTCCTCCCCCTTAAAGGTTCCCCAGTGTGCTTAGCAAATTAAAGGCTCTGAGACATCCTGCAGAAAAGAGATCTGCTGAATCAAACACAGTTAAACACGCCCCAGTCTTTCTGGTTCCTGGGACTCTTTTTGCATTAAATCCCTAATGAACCCTCTTGGGGCAATACTGACTTTGGAGGCTCCAAGACCCAGCTGGGAACTCCTCCTGCAAGGAGCCTCCCTGGGCAGCTGTGTCCCCAAGCAGCTGCTCTCCCCTTTTCTGACAGACAGCCTAGGCTGCAGGGGAACTCCCTCAGGCTCTGGGTCCCACTCCCCCCACCCCCACCTGACCCTGCGTCAAGCTGGATGGTTGTACACAACACGGGCAGTGGGGGGTGCGAGAGTCAGCCCATTTACTTACTCAGGGACCAGCAGACCAGCCCTGAGCTTGGCCTCCACCAGCGAGGGGAGCAGAGGAGAGACCTGAGTGAACAGACCTGGGCTCCACTGTGCTCACAGGCTCATCGTCCCCACCTCTCTCCTGTGCAAGGCAGAGACATGGTCCCCCTGCCTTAGTTTCCCCATCCATCACAGGCAAAGCAGTTCAGGGGCAGGGCTCTGGGCTGAATGTCAGGCTGAACGTCAGTTGAGGACAGTCCCAACTCTGCGTCTCACCAGCGTGTGACTCGGGCAGCTCCTCGTCCTTTCTGGGCCTGACTGGTTCCCCTGTCACCACCGTAGCCAGAAGCCACTGCCTGACCCAGAGGCCACCAATTCAGCCCCCACCAAGCCAGCTGCCAGAGTGCCCAGCCCAAATCCCAGGGGCTGAGACCCACCTCCCCCGGGGCTGCCTGAGAATATGAGCAGGCCAAGGGGGCGTGCAGGATGGGGCTGCCTCTTGAGGCTGAGCGGACAGCCCGGAAGAGCCCTGCTCTGCAGGGGAGGCAGCCCTGCCCGGCCTCTCCCCACCAAACCACAGTCCCGGCTTCCGGAGCTGCACCCACACAGGGGCTCGGGGGGCCCTCACCATAGCTGGCCCTGGAGCCTGAGCCCCCCACTCCTGCTCACTCACTCTTTCCACAAACGTTTGTCTTCTGAAGCCAGGCTCTGGGCAGGGCACCAGGAGGTCGCCATGATGGAGTCTTGGACCACAGCAGACCCGTACCCCCAGAACCCAGGTATCCCTGTGGGATGGTCCACCCACCAGGGATCCCCGCAACTGTCCAGGACCCCGAGGACACCAAGCCCAGTCTTTGCTCACCCCCCGGCTGAACAACTCCTCCGTGGCTCCCGTGGCCTTCTTCCTGGCTGCGTGATTTGACTTATTTTCGTTCTCCAAACAAGCCCCACCCTTTCATCTGCAGGCTCCGGCAGCCTAAAACGCTGCCTGCCCCCCAAGACCCCCACCTGCCACCCTTCAGAGTTAATGCTCAGCTGCCACCTCCCAGGAGAGCTGCCCGGTCCCCTCCCAACCTGGCCTCGGTGCCCACCTGGGCTTCCCTAGTGCCTGCACTTCCTCATCAGGGCACCCTGCCTGTAGCCCCCCGGCTGGGTGACACCTCCCACCCCCCCACCCCTCACCAAGGGCTGAGCAGCGGGCCACTCACTGCCAAGCTTCCAGATCCGACACCCTGCCTGGTGCCCAGGAGACACTCAGCCCTTACCCAACAGGCTGTCTCTACCATGGCAAGCACTGAGCTAGCAGTCAGGGGCTGGCCCCACCCTGCTGTCCCTAGTCCCGGGAGCTTTGGCAGCTTACCTGCCTCTCAGGGCTGCCTTCTCACCTGTGCAGTAGAAATGCAAACACCCCCCTCTCCCCTAGTCCTGTTCCAGCAGTGAAATGAGCTCATGGCCATAAAATTGCCTTATAAATCAGGGAACTTTACACATGGTGTAAAGTTCTGTTTCTACCACTCAGCAAAAGACTCCAGCTTGGTGTCCAGAGAACCCTCTTAAATCCACTCACTTAACACTAAAACTCTTTAGCCTTGTCAGAAGCAATAATATATCCATGAAGTCACAGATTTAATACCCCATGTACAAATTTCTTTTTCCTAAAACCCATTCAAATATTTTAAATGTTAAGAAGTCTGTAGCAGTGCAAGCGGTTAGTGCGTTTAGCTACCGACCTAAAGGTTGGAGGTTCAAGTCCACCCAAGGTGTACAGGCTAAAACCACCTGGGGCCCTCAGTGGAGCACAGCCCACACTGAGAAACATGGATCTAGCCCAGCCCTGTGCATCACCCGGCTGCCTGTCCATGACCAGGAGAGCAGGTGCCAGCCCTGGTCACAGCCACCTGCTCATCATCAAGTGCTCACTGGGACCCCGACACGCACCAGCTACAGGCGAGGAGCAGAGACTACAATGTGCCAGACAGACGCGGGGTCCCCTTGTGGAGCTCACATTGTGGGGAAGCGGGAGACGCCCAGTAAATGAGCTAAATAAGGAAAAGATATGCCAAGGTAGGGGCAGGGCACAGTCTCAGGTGGGCAATCAGGAAGGCAGGAAATCCTAATGGTTAGGGCCACAGGCTCTGAGCCCAAACAGAATGGGTTTTGAATCCCGGCTCTACCTCAGAGAAGCTGTGTGACCTTTGGCACGTTAATTAACCTCTCTGGGCCCAGTTTCCTCACCCACAGAACGTGGGCTGGGAATGGGACCTAAGTCACGGGGCCTGACACAGAGGCTGGCGCAAAGTGAGCCGGTCACCCCAGCCGGCTCCAAACATCAGGAGCTGGCAGCCTGAGAGACTGTTTATATTAAACTGGTGCTGGGGACACACTTCCAGTTCCAGGGGTCTCTGTCTCACTTCCTGTCATCCCCCCAAAATAAACACATCTCTTCCCTCGCCCCTACCCCTGCCCTGCAGCTGGCCCCGACAAAGTGGTGCTGAAGTGCTGGGCCTGCCCAGCTCTAAGACACCCCCTCTGCAGGGGGCTCGACCAGGCCAAGTGGGACCTGAGCAGTGGCTCCCGGGAGTCTGGTGTTTCAAAAGACGGCACTTCCCCATTAGCGCAGGTCCCCATTAAAGCAGCGCTTCCAGCTGACTTCAAAGGATTCCTCCTCCCCCAGCCGGATGGGCCCCAGGAGAAGAGTGTGGAAGGCTGGGAACAGGGACAGGCAATCACGAAGGTCCCGGCTGCCCAGGCAGATGCACAGAAGTTAGCCTACCTACTACAGAGTTGGGGAAACTGAGGCTGGGAGAAGGAGCGGCAGCCCCTAGAGAGGGGCAGCAAGGCCAGGATGAGCCCCCCAATACTGGCCCCAAATCCTACATCCCTCCCACGGAGTGAGGCCAGGGCAAATGCCCACGAGTGTGGGGGGATCGGCACCTTCCAAACAGCTCAGGCTCCCCTGTCCAACCAGGAACGCTCACACTCCCCCTGAGGCTGAGGGGCATTCTGAGCCTCAGTTTCCCATCTGTGCAGAGAGCCCAGCATCCCAGGCTTCTCCCTGCCCAGCCATTGACTCCAGGAACCAACCTAAGTCAGCTGTACCTGAGGAATCTAGACATAGCCACCTAGAGGCAGGGATCTAGGGGGTGGGAAAGGCTGCGACCCTGGAAGGTGAGGGTACTCTGGGTCCAGATGACCATCCAGGGCTCGGGGCCCCAAGAGGCCGACGGTACCCACTGTACACACCCCTGCCTCCTGGGGCCTCACGCTCCCCGAAAGCCAGGCCTGTTGTGCTCCAAGCTCCAAGCCACAAGTGGGGTGTGAGCTCCTCCCTGGGGACAGGCCATGGCCCGTGTCTGATGTTATGACCACTCCCTTCTGCCCCCATCACCCCCAGGTCAGGTCCCGGCACCCAGGGAGGAAGCAAGAGGAGGTGGGCCCTGGGGGCCAGGAAACGCGACTGAGAACGGAGGATCCCATGACAAAGGCCTCTATTTGCTTCCCTTTTCACTCAGGCCCAGCTGCAGGGTAATTCCCTCCACTGGTCAACCAGGCAGTGGCGGGGGCAGAGAGAAAGAGGCACAGAGAGAGGGTGGAGGAGCAGCGTGTTCCTGGCGTCCCCCAGGCACCAGCAAAAGGGGAAGGCAAGTGACTGCCAAGTGAACTGACTTCGGAGCAGAGAAGTCAAGTCCCCTCCCCCCGCCGAGTGAGCTCGAGGACCCGAGGGGGGAGCCCTCACTTGGGGCTACAGGCCAAGAGGACACTGGGAGGTGGGGAGGACACTCCAGGCAGAGGGACAAAGCGGGAGGGAGCAAAGCCAGGCTGATAAACAAGTCAGTGGGGCTGGCCCAGAGTGGGCAAGGGGGACAAGAGATTGGACATGAGAGGGAGGATGGGGCCAGGTCCAGGAGGGCCCCAGAACCAGGGGCAGGGGTTCCAACATGGCGCCAGATCAGACGTGTGTCAGAAGAACCAGGGCCCCCTGCAGGCCTCTTCTCCCATACCCCAGGAGAGCCGCCTGCCCATCTTGACCACAGAGTCCACTCCAGCTCGACTCTTAGTCGGGGCTCAGAAATGCCTGTGGAACTGCTCTGTTAATGAGAGCAGCAGATGGTGGGAGGAAGTATGATCCCAGGGTGTCCCAGGGAGAAGAGGCCACAAGAGAGGAAATGAGCCCACCTCTGGTCCAACGGCACCCCCAGACCTAGACCCTTCTAGAGAGGCTTTCAGGGTGAAGGGACATGGGGAAGAGAGCAGAGAATGAGGGTGCTTCAGCTGAGCAGGTCTGCATCCCAGGTTGGACAACACCCATGACATGCCGGTTGCGAAATCCGTGGGCAGTGACAAGTCGAGCCGGATGCCCACGGCTGGCAGCGGGCGCCATGCCACACTCCTGGGGGAGCGGGGGCAGAGGACCCACAGGGGGTGAGTGGTGGGAGGGGCAGGCAGAGCTGGGGGATCACTAGGCAGAGGCGGCGGCTGGCGGGGCTCTGGACACTATCAGGGAACCTCTCAGCCTGGGCTTATTATTAGCTTCAGATGCCAAAGGAAGTGTTTTGCATGCATTTAACCCGCCCAGCCACCTACAGGCCCTGGGCGCTGCCATCAGCGCCATTCTACAGATAAGGAAACTGAGGAACAGAAATGTAATTAGCCCAAGGAATGCAGGCTACCAGGGAGGCCCCTAGCCCAGGCCCACCCAGCCTCACCTCCCAAGTAGTCCACCCTCCCAGCCAAAACAGGACGAGGCTGAGGGGAGCCCAAACACAGCTACATGCCACCGATGAGAAATGCATCCACTTAGGGAACAGCTCCTCTGGGCCAGGCACAGTACAAGCCTCACGTCATCCTTAGAACTACCTGATGCACTGGGTACCATAAGCAACCCCATTTTACAGACCAAGAAACAGAGGCACAGTCTCACACACTGCTAGGACGAGGCAGACTGGGGCTTGAACCAAGGCCACCAGACCAGAACACTATCCAGCTCTGCCCAGAGACAGGGGGTAGACCTGATGACCTCCAGAAGACCCCTGCTTCTCTGGCTGGTGTTCAGATACAGTGGTCTTGCTCACTGATCCAAACTCACGCCCAGTTCTTAGCTACATTAAAAAACAAACAACAGTTGCCTTCACATTGACTCTGACTCATAGTAACCCCATGTGTGTCAGCAGAACTGTGCTCCATAGGATTTTCAATCGCTGATTTTTCAGAAGTAGATCACCAGGGCTTTCTTCTGAGGTGCCTCTGGATGGACTCAACCCATCCACCTTTCAGTTAGCAGCCGAGCGTGTTAATCGTTAGCACCATCCATTTTAAGCATAGTGAACACCCAAGGGTCCGCCCCCCTCCCCGAGTCCAGCCCCATGAAAGGCTAGAATTGGCTGCCATGATACAGGGTCCAGCACAACCCGCTCCGCCTGCCCTCTCAGAGGCCCCACACATTTCCCAGCCAGGTTAAGTACTGCCCTCCACCTGGGCAATGGGACGTAGGAAGCTGCCACCACCTCAGTGTGAACGCACCTGTGTACTCTTCCTCCAGGACAGGAGGGTGGTGAGGGGCAACGCCGAGGGAACTGCCACCTCACCTCTCTCTATCATCTCTGGTAACGGAATGGCAAAGCCTGGAAATCCACCTCCCAGCCACACACTCTGAGAACGGACAGCCCACGGGGGCACGAGAGCCCTGACTTGTTCCAGCTATGCCAAAGGCTTTGTCCCACCCTACACCACCCCATGGTGGGCGCAGAGAAACTGTCTAGGCACAGGGGAGCCTGTGGTCCACACCAGTGAGAACCACCCCCGTTAACCCTCCGCTCCCACCCAGGGCCCCTGTGCTCAGCTTTGGGCCTCACCAAAGACGAGGTCCAGAGTCCTGAGCCCGACTCCAGACCTTCAACACGGTGGTTCTCCACCAGAGGTGGTGTGAGCAAGTGGACACTCTGGGGACCAACCTGCTGTGTGACCCAGGACAGGATGCTGCCCCTCTGGGCCTCAGCTGTCTCCTCTGTAAACTGGGAGTAAATGGCACCTGCCACCTAGCACAGCAGGGGAGGTGGCAATGGACTAAGTCAGTAGTTACCAACTGTAAAGGGAGGTCACATCCCTCAACATCAAGTCAGATCTTTGCCTCCTGCGAAGCCTTTCCTGTCCTGTCCCATCTCTCACTGCCAAAGCCAGGAGCACCAACCTCCACTTCTGGAGCCCTCACAGCAAAAATGCCTGCTCCGCAGACCAGCTCCTGGCAAAGAAGTCCTGCAAGGCCACCCCTCACCCCCAGCTCCGGAAACTGGCCACCAGTAAATGGCCACTTCTGATAAAGTGCCACCGGAGAGTCCTCCCGCACAAAGTTCACACCTTCCTTCTGAAGGGCACAGAGTGCCTCCCTCCTCCACACCCACCCCAGGAGCCATGGGACAAATCCGGGAAACCCAGGGCCCGGGTCGGAATACACAACCCTGTCAGAAGCAAAAGGTGCTCAGCTTCCCAAGCATCAGCCTCCCCACGTCCTGGGCTGCCAATCACTTTTCACTTAAATATTTTCTTCAGCATTGTCTGAGGCAGTAAATGATTTAAAAAAAAAAAAAAAAAAAAAAAACTGTTGCCATCAAGTTGATTCCAACTCACAGCGACCCTATAGGACAGAGGAGATTGGCCTCATAGGGCCAAGGAGCGCCTGGTGGATTCAAACTGCTGACCTTTGGATTAGCAGCTGAGCTCTTAACCACTATGCCACCAGGGTTTCCCACTAAATGATAACACCCACAAAGTCACAGACTCAATGCAAAAAACTTGCAAAAGCCGGAACCTGTACAAGACGGAAACCTGTGAGAGAAGGAAGGTGCAAATATTTTCCATTAATAGGGAAAGAGAAGTGGAGACTGCGTCCCGTCAAAGGCGGAAAACTCACGAGACCCAGAAAAACAAGGCAGTCCTGTCGAGTTCCATGTTCATCTGTGTACAGGCTAAAACCACCTGAGGGCCCCAGGCCACACGTTGAGAAACACGGAGTCCAGCCCAGCCCCACGCATGGTCCACAGCTGCCAGAACAGGTGCCAGTCCATGGTGACATGGACATGTAGGGCAGAAACCACCCAGACTCAGCCGCTCATCCAAGATTGGGGGCAGGGGCTCTCTGGATCAGAGGCACAGCCCGGCCCCACATCCAGGCCCTCTGCTTCCTTCCAGCTTCCCCTCCTCCATCCAAGGCTGGCCAGGAAGGAAGCCCCCAGCCCCTGCTGTCCCTGACCCTGAACCCGATGTGGTGACACAGAAAAGAGGCACCTGCTTCGTCCCGTGTACATGGACATGTGTTTGGGTGAGCACACAGAAAGATCCAGAAGGACCCACTCCAGACGGTCCACATGGGTCCCAGGGGCCATGGACTGGGTGGGCTGGAGGGAAAGGACACTGTTCCATTTTCTTGAGGCATCTTTGTTCTCTGTCTCTTGGACACATATCACTTTCCGAGTATTTGTTGATTTTTCTAATCTAATAAGTTCAATCGCCCTTCCCTCACTGATTTTTACTTTCAGTGAGAAAAGTAAAGTGTACTTGCAAAGCAAAATTACAACCTTGGAAAGAAATGTGGACATTTGAGAATCTGTGGTCTGTCGAATTCAAGGTAGAAGGAGCCAAATGAACACCACAGCAGTAATATCAACACTTTGGTGTCAGCCTGGAGAATGCCAGTGACAAAGCCGTCTCTGGTCCCTAAATGAGGAGCTGCCCCACCCAGACATCTGCCCAGGAAGCTCTGAGAACCTTTCCCAACCAGGCCCAACCCTGCCCAGCCCATGGCCAGGCCCACCTGGGTAAGCTCGTGGTCCATACCCTGGAGGTGGGGGCCTACCCAGCCCAGGCGCCTCAGGCTGACGCCCCATCCCCACACCCTACTTTACCTGGCTCTCCTCCAGGGTGCCATGGCAGGCGGGCCAGCATCTGCACCCACAGGGAGGTGGCCTGGCCCTCCGCCCGCCCCTCCTCGGGCAGCGTCCAGGCTCACACATGTGAAGGCTCCCTCCACCGGCTACCCAATGAGTGAGTCACTTCAGGGGCCCACAACTTCCTGCCCCAACCGCGGCAGCAGCAGAAAGGCTAACACCGAACCATCCGCTCAGCGCCTCTCGGGGTGCACGGCCCCCGTTCCCAGCCATAGCGGAGACCTCAACAGGGGTGGGGGGAGCCCAGGCCAGGCTCCCACTCCAATGACTTCACGGAAACTTGAAGCTTTAAGCTGAAACGATTTTGGAAAAAAATAAAATAAAACACAAGCATCAAAAACCTCCATTAGAAATCCCAAGATGACTGTTCCAAGGTGAGCGAGTAAATGCATCCTTAACAAGCAATCAGTCTCAGCCTGCCTCCGCCACTCACAGACAGGCCCCTCTACAAGATTAGATTGTGTTTTAAGCCAAGCTCTTTTGAGATATAAAAGAGAAAAGCGAGCAGAGAGACATGGGGACCTCATACCACCAAGAAACAAGAGCCAGGAGAATAGCATGTCTTTTGGACCCAGGGTCCCTGCGCTGAGAAGATCCTCGACCAGGGAAGATTGATGATAAGGACCTTCCCCCAGAGCTGACAGAGAGAAACCCTTCCCCTGGAGGTGGCACTCTGAATTCGGACTTCTAGCCTCCTAGACTGTGAGAGAATAAATTTCTCTCTGTTAAAGCCACCCACTTGTGGTATTTCTGTTACCGCAGCAGTAGATGACTAAGATAATGGTGAAACTTCATCTCACGTACTTTGGACATGCTATCATGAAGGACCAGTCTTTGGAGAAGGACATCATGCTTGGTAAAGCAGGTCAGTGAAAAAGAAAAGACCCTCATTGAGATGCACTGACACAGTGGCTGCAACAATGGGCTCAAACATAACACCAGTCGTGAGGATGGCACAGGACCGGGCAGTGTTTCATTCTGTTGTATACAGGGTTACTGAGTCGGAATCGACCCGACAGAATCCAACGACAACAACAAATGTTCATGGCGGCTTTATTCTTAACAGTCAAACAACCCAAATGTCCAGCAAGAGGTGAATGGATAAACAAGCTCTCACATATTCACACAACAGAATATTACTCAGCAGTAAACAGGAACAGATTGCAACACACAACACGGACGAACCTCACAAACGGTACGCTGAGCAGAAGAACCAGACACAAGAGTATGTTCCATTGGACTCCATTTATATGAAACTCTAGAAAAGACAAATCTACAGTGATAGAAAACAAGACAGTGGTCGTGTCTAGGGGGCTACTGACTGAGAAGGGGCACAAGGAGGCCGTCTTGGGGGTCGAAGACGTTTGAATTCTCGATCCGGGTGCTCGTAACATAGGTATATGCATAAGTAAAATTCATCACTCAGTACACTTAAAATTTGTGTATTTTATTTATGTAAATAAGGGGAAAAGTTGACTAGTACTCATTTGTTTTTTTAGTCAACAAACCCTGGCCAAGGGCCTGGTGCTGGGTGCTCGGTCTACTTTGGGAACCGGTAAGACCTGACTTGACATAGTGGGCAAGAGGCAGGCCATTCCCAGTAAGGGAAGCGGGTGGAGACAGAGCTTTTGGGCGGTCAGCAGCGAGCAGAGGCGAAACAGCACTGGACAGGGCTGGGAGGTCTGCAGGGTGGGTCACGGAGGCCTCAAGGGCCGGGGATCATCCAGGTGCGCTGGGAAGCTGCTGGGGGCGGGGCGGGGAGTGACCTTAAAGGCAACCTCAGCTGCAGCGCGGAGGGCGGCTTGGAGAGGCCACACATAGAAATGGGTTGGGAGGTTCCCCTTTATCCACAGGAGCTAACAGGGCCTGGATTAGCCAGAACACCAAGCTCAGAGCTAGTCACACAGCAAAAAAAAAAAAAAGTTACCGTCAAGTCGATTCCAACTCATGGTGACCCTACGTGTGTCCGAATAGAACTGAGCTCCGCAGGGTTTTCAATGGCTGTGATTTTTCAGAAGTATAACCCCAGGCCTTTCTTTCGAGGCGCCTCTGGGTAGACTTGAACCACCAACCTTTTGGGTTAGTAGCCAAGCACTTAACCATTTTCACTACCCAGGAACTCAATAAACCCTGCTGTTTGGTCACAAAGGGACATGGAGCCAGTTTCCCTGGCTAACACCTCCCGCCCTCCCCAGGCCTCCCTTCCAGCTCTTTCTTCAGAGGACACAGCAGTCAGACCCTTCCCTGCCTTCTGCTGCAGCCACAGCTCTGCCCAGCACCAGCTGTAATCCCCTCCCCCGGCCCTCCCTAACATCAGCCATCTGAAACTTGATACCCCCCCCAACCCTCGTGCTGACCAGGAGGTCCCCGCAGGCAGGACCTGTACACCCTAATCACTAGCATGTTAACTGAAAGGTTGGAGGTTTGAGTTCACCCAAAGGTGCCTCAGAAGAAAGGCCTGATAGTCCACTTCCAAAAAGCCAGCCAATGAAAACCTAATGGAATGCAATTCTACTCTGACACATACAGGGTCACCGTGAGCTGGAATCAACTTGACGACTTTTTTTTTTTTTTTTAAACTAATAGAAGAGGAAACCAAGGCTCAGAGAGGCCACATCACTTGCCCAAGCACCAGGGGTGGACTATCCAATAGGTAAGGTAAGCACGGTGATTACCTTGCTTACCAGATTATCTGTAGTGAACAATTTCACATTTTTTTCACCACATCAAAGATTCTGCTTCTAGGTATGGCGGGCTTCTGTCTCTCTCCCCACCCCACAGCACCTTCCTACAGAATCAAAGCCTCTTTTCAAATTTACAATCCCTAACAGGGGTGGGATTACCCAGTAGGCAAGGTAAGCACAGCCTTATTTGTGCTGACTTACTTACTAAGCACAAGTAAGCCTGTGCTTGCCTTGCCAACTGGGTAATCTGCCCCTGCCAAGCACACACAGCTAGGAAAAGGCACAGTGGAATTCAAACTCAGGTCTGTCCGGCTCCATGGCCTATGCTCTTAACCACTTACCCTGTGATACTCCCTGGGAACAAGGAAGGGCTTCCTTGGAGACAGGCTGCTCCAAATCCCATTACACCCCCCTTGGTGGGGTACCCACATCCCAAGAGCTCCAACCCCTGGCACATCACTAGGGTTGGTGTCACCCAGTGCAGCCACCTCGTCTCGTTCTTTCCCCCTGAAGTTGGGGCTCAACACACCCCAGAGGAGCCGCAGAGATGGGTCTGAGCAGTCAGGTGGGTGACTCGTCCCTACTCAAGCCCTGATCCCAGCGGGATGAAGCGCTGAGAGCTCGGACTGTCTATGTGATGACAGCTCTGGGGGCCCGTCCATGAAGTCAGGACAATCTCACCTAACACGTTGAGTGGCGACGGTGAGGCTTAAGTGAGAAAGGTGTGCAAGGCACACAGTAAGTGCTCAATTAAAGCCAGCAGGCAAGGGAGGCCAAACAGGTGCTCTCTCATTTCCCAAACTGAGAACCTGGCTCTACTACCACGTCCACCCTGGCCAAAGACCTTCCATGTCTCCCCTATGCCTCCTACTCTTCGGGCCCCTCATACCAAGCCCAGCTCTCCTTTCCATCCATGTCTTCCAGCTGCCTCACTCTTCTGTGCTTTTGCTCAGACCTTTCTGCCACCTGGAATGTCCTTTACCCTCTGCTCAAAATCCTACCCACCCAGCCAAGACGAATGCCACCTCTTCCAGGAAGCCTTCCCCAATGCCCCACTGTCACCTCCTGTGGGCCACACTGCCACGGGCCTCTCCTTAGACCTGTCCATAGAAGATGCAGATTCATCCCTCTCCTGGAGCACCTGCGCCCTTCTGGTAACAGCTCCCCATTGCTATGAGGAGGTGGGCCCACAACAAGTGTATGTTGAAGAACGGGCATGTGACTCACAGTGGTCTTTGAGATTCAATTTTGGGACTTCTATTAGAGCCACATGGAAAAAAGGTGCTCTTGTTTCACTAGGCTGGAGAGATATATGAGCTCTGAACCACTGGGGCCATTTGCCACTATGGTAGCCAGCCTCCAAGATGTAGCCTGGCTACCATTACTGAATATTTTGATGGCCTCCAATAACTCTTTTGTCTCTTGATATTCACAACCCTGTATAGTCTCCTCCCATATTTAACAGGGCTGATCAGTATGACCAATAAAACATGGCAGAAATCACTATCTTTGACTTTGGAGGTCAAGAAAGACATTGTGGCCTTGCTCTCTGTTGGACCACTCACTCTGAGGAAAGCCAGCTGCCATGTTGTGAAGACACTCAAATGGCCCTATGGAGAGGTCTGTGTGGTGAGGAAGAGGCCTCCTGTCCACAGCCATGTGAGGGAGCCGTCTTGGGAGCAGATCCCCCAGCCCCAGGCAAGCCTTCAGGTGACAGCAGATTGACTGACAGCTTGACTTCAACCTCATGAGAAACCCTGAGCCAGAACCACCCAGCTAAACCACTCCTAAAGTCCTGGCCTCCAAACTGTGAGATAATGTCTGTTGTTTTAAACCAGTAAGTTTTGGGGTAACTTGTTAGGCAGCAATAGATAACTAATACAACCACTGCATGGTAGAACCTGCCCGAAAATGAAGCCCAGACAGAGATGGAGAGAGAAGCAGAGTTTTCATGACACCACTTGAGCCCCTAGATCTAGCCATGCCTGAATCCATACCAAATTGCCCTCTAGACTTTTACTTACAGAAACCATTAAACCTTCTCCACATTTTGGTGTGCGTAGGGTTTCTGGCATTTGCAGCTGAGAGAGTCTGGACTAACTCTTCCATAGCAACCCTGCCTGCCAGGAGTGACCGAGGGTTTACATCTACTCCAGCACACCCACCTCCAGAGGGCAACGATAACCCTCCCCTGCACCAGGCACTCAAGAAGCTCTCATGACCTTTCCACCAAACTGATCCGTACCCAGATTCTCCCAACGAGAACAAAGAGCATAAACACGGAACCCACTCAGTGAGGCCAGCAGTATGAGCCTCCCTCCCAGCTCAGCTCCCCAGAGGCGGACTCACCCCTCTCGGAGCACAGAGCAGGCCCTCAGCTCTTTCATGCTCTGGGCCAGGAGGCTGATCCCGGTGGAGAGTGCCTCGCTGAGCAGGGAGCAGACACAGCCTTGTGGCCCCGTCACTCACCCTCCTCCCAGATGGGCTTTTCACGCTAAGGGGGAGGGGGGGCATTCCAATACTCCGACTCACCTCCGACGTCAGCCTTCATCTCTCTGCAGCTGGACATGTTGGGAATCTGTCCTTCCCCAGGCTGGGAACATACGAAGATGCCCTGGTTCTCCCCCTCATTCAACAGGCAGGAAACTGGGGTTACCAGAAGAAAAGGGGCTCACTGGGGTCATGCAACTGGGTACAAAACACAGGAGAGAACTAGGGCCTTCTGATGCCCAATCAGTGGTGGCCCCAAAGCCACTCTCAATTAAGACACGTTCTACATAAACACCATCTTTGCCATCAAACGCAGCTTCCCTAAGCCACTGCCCCTGCTCCAGAGAAACCTAAAGAGCTGCTGCTTATCCCAGATCTAAAGCCAGAAAAAGTGACGATGAACAATCCTGTGGGTGGTAGGCCTGCCAAAGGCAGGGGGCCGGCCCCGTGACCCCCGAGGACCCAGCCCCTGCCAGCCCAGCCCAGGGCTCTGGAGAAGGAAAAGGCAGCCAGGGTCACGGGTGTTGAGTAACAGCAGCGAATCCTGCAGGAACAGATGTGGAAGCAACGGCTCTGCCAACCAAAAATCCCTATTTCCTTTGAAAAACCTGGCAGCGGAGCTTCGCTAGTGGTCACCTCCTTCCCCTGACAGGCAAGAGGGGCAGGGAGGAAGACCACGCCCCCCACCCCCCCATCCTGGGACGGAGGCTGAGGAAGAGAAATAAACAGTTCACAGAGGCAGTGGGATCCCTTTTTCAGTGAATACAGCAGACGTGCGTTTGGTTTTTTGCACACAAGAAAATCTGGAAGGGTATACTCCCAATCTTAGGGGCTACCACTAGGTAGAATTAGCCCCGTTTTAATGTAACGTTTGTCTTTTTGTGTATATCTGTTTTCCAATTTTCTCTAATTAAAATACACTAGCCATGTAATTAAAAGATAAAAGGAGAAAAAACAGCTACTACGAAGACAGGACTAAGGAAAAACAGCAGGCCAAAAGTGGAAGTTTTCCACTCAATGCCAAATTCAGCACCACCTCCAACAGGTGAAAATTGGAGGTCTTTATGATCATTAAAAATACTACCTTCTAACTTTCAATGATGGATTATCTGATATAGTAACAAAAGCACAAACGCAAAAGACAAAATAAATAAACAGGACCTCATAAAAATTAAAAACTTTTGTTCATCAAAAGACTTTACCAAAAAAGTGAAAAGACAAGCTACCAACTGTGAGAGTATCTTCAGAAACCATATATCCAACAAGAATCTAATAACCAAAATATTTATAAAACTGCCGATAACTTAACAAAAAGACAAATAACCCAATCATAAAATGGGAAAAGGACTTCAATAGACATTTCATCGAGAGGACATTCAAAAGCCTACCAAATGCATGAAAAGATGCTCAGCATCATCAGCCATCAGAGAGATGCAAATCAAAACCACAACGAGATATCATTTCATTCCCACAAGGATGGCTAGGAGCCCTGGTGGTGCAGTGGTTAAGAGCACAGTGGTTAAGAGTGGTTGACCAAAAAGGTCAGAAGGGTAAATCCACCAGCTGCTCCTTGGAAACCCTATGGGGCAGTTCTACTCTACCCTATAGGGTTGCTATGAGTTGGAATCGACTCGACAGCAATGGGTTTGGTTTTTGGTAGGATGGCTAAGAAAAAAACAAACAAACGAGGATGTGGGGAAATTTTTGGAACCCTTACCCACTGCTGGTAGGAATGCAAAATGGTATAGCCACTGTGGAAAACAGTGTGTTGTTTCCTCAAAAAACAAAAAATAAAACTACCATATGACCCAGCAATTCCACTCCTAGGTATATACCCAAAAGAACTGAAAGGAGAGACTCAAACAGAGACTTGTACACCAATGTTCATTGCAGCACTAGTCACAACAGCCAAAAGGTGGAAACCTAAATGCCCACCAACAGATGAATGGATGAACAAAATGTGGTACACGCATACAATGGAAACTACTCAGCCAGCAGGAGAAATGAAGTCTTGATACATTCTACAATACAGATGGAGCTGGAAGACATTATGCTGAGTGAAATAAGTCAATCACGAAGGATAAATACTGTATGACCTCACTTATATAAAAAGACAAAAAAAGGCAAATGTGCAGAAAACAAAGTTTATTAGTGGTTACCAGGGGCAGGAGTGAGGGGGAAAAGGGAGTTAATGGTGACAGAAATATCACATTGATTAATGGTAGGGTTGCACAGCCAATTACTATAATCGCTGTCAATAAGCAGTAAACCTGTAAAAAGGTGAACTGGCAAAAGTTGTGTGATACACATACTTACAACAATGACTGAAAAAAAAAAAGTAGCTGCTGAGGCTTCTTAAGTACAACCAAAAACCTTATGGGATTTGGTTTCTTGGTTTGGAGGTTTAGGGTCATGGTTTCATGGGACATCCCAGTTAATTGGCCTAAAAACATGTTTAGTGCTTCTCTTCTATCTCCTAGTTCGATGAGTAGTGCGTGAGGTCTTAAAAGTTTGCAAGTAGCCATCCAACGCACAACAATTTGTCTCTGTTTGCCTGGAAAAACAAACCAGAGTCAAGAATAGGAGGAGGAAATGGAATGTGTGGCTAACTGCCTCCTTGAACAATTGCCTCCTTTGCCATGAGACCAGAAGACCTAGATGGTGCCCAGCTACCACTACTGAACATTTTGATCAAAGATTCCATAGAAGAATCCTGATCAAAAGGGGGAAAATGCAGAAGAGAATTCAAATTCTCCTGGACTCCAGACTTCGTGGAGCCATGAAGGTTGGATGAACCCCTGAAACTACTGCCCTGAGATCTTTAAACCAAAAATACCCCCTGAAGTCTTCTTAAAACCAAAGAATAGTTTAGCTGAACTAGTAAAGCATAACTTGAGCATTACACTCTTTTAAGAAACAGTCTATATGGGATCAAACTGATAAGCAACTCAAAAAAAGCACACTTACGACCGCGGTTTTTTTGTACGTCTTACTGTTAGTACCATGTACTACATACAATGCTGCAGTGCGTAACTGCTGATGTTATCATCTTCAAATGTTCACTCTCAGTTCAAGGAAACTCAGGGGGCAGTAAATTTATGTTAATTAGGAGGGTGACAATGGTTTTACAGCTCGAAGAATGTCATCAATGCCACTAAATGGCAAACTGTTGAATTGGTGTGTTGTGCCACGTATGTCCTCAACAACAAAATTTTAATAAAATAAAAATATTCATTAAAAAAACACTACCTTAAAGTCACTGAGCACCAGTGGCTGCCAATACTGCCACAGCAAAAAGAGATATGACCAGACACACGTGGCTCCAGGCAGGAGGTCACAGTACTACAGGCAGTCCCCGACTTACGACACAGTCGCCATATTTCAGTTAGGACAACCATGCTGATCACCATCTTTTCTTCTTTTTGTACATCTTACTGTTAGGAGTATGTACGACATACAGAGTTGCGGTGCGTAATTTGCTGAGTTAACATTCTTAGATGTCCACTCGTAGCTGTTTAAAGATCAGATTTATAGATACTGATAAAAGGCAATAATAATGAAAACTAAAAAAAAAAAAAGAGGTATTTGACTTATGTCAGAACCGACTTAAGAGGGGGCTACCTGTATCTCTCAAGTATTCTCATCTCCCAAAAAAAAAAAATCAAACCTGAATCAAGCCTCTAGATACAATTTATAGGAGATTCAAGGAGGGATGGGGGAAAAGAGAAAAGGAGAGGGAGAGAGGGGAAGAGGAAAAAAGGAGGAGGGGGGACAGGAGGGAGAGAGGAGAAGGTAGGAAGACAGAGGGGGATGGAAGGGAGGGAGGGGGAGAGGTGGGAGAGAGGAGAAGGTGGGGGACAGAGGGGGAAAGGGGAAAAAAGAGAGGCAGGAGGAGAGAGGGAGGGAAGGGGTGTAGAGGGGGGTGTTTAGGGAGAGAAGGGGAGAGGGAGAGAAGGGTTGTAGAGGTATAGAGGGGGGTGTAGGGAGAGAGAAGGGGAGAGGGGAGAGGGAGGGGGGAGAAAAGAGACAGAGAGAAGGAATGAATGTCAACAGATCGTACTATGCGAATCTCATTTGGACGCCGATTCCAAAAAACTAAAAAAACGTGTTGACGTTTATGAAACCATTGGAAATTTGAACACTGAATGGATAGTTATTGATGTCAGGGAATTATTGCTAATACTTAAAGGTGTAGTGATAACATTTTTTAAAGCATCCTTATCTTTTAGCAATATATACTAACACTGTTACCTCTGAAATGACATTCTGCCTGGAGGGGAAGATGTGTGGGAGTAGAGATGACTCGAGATTGGCCAAGAGTTGAAAACTGCCAAAGCCGAGGGACGGGGAGGTGGGGGTGGTTGTGTTATTAAGTCTTCCTTCGTACACATTTAACTTTTTCATGCTGGCGTCCGCCGTCTTGTTGGAGTCTCACTCAGCGAGGGGTCACTTGGGTCCCCTCTGACAGATGAGGAACCTGAGGCCCTGAGGGGTGAGGCCGTTCCCTCAGGGTCTCAGAACCAATAACACAAAGCCAGCCTCAACCTGACTGTCTGGCTCCAGAGAGAGGGCTCCCCACCCTACACCCACAAACCACCCAGGGCATGTTCCGAGCCAGTGGGCAAAGAGGACTCCAGGCCCTCACTGGGTGCCCTCCAGGACCCCTTGGAAGGAACAGCAGGAGGCTGCAGGGGTCAAGCCTCTGCCATCACCTACTAGTGCAGAGCGGAAGAGGTGCCTCCCCCATCAGCCCACCTCACCCACAGGGGCTTAAAGGCTTCAAGCCCCAGCCTGGGTGGCGGCATCTAACGCCTCTCCTGGCAGGGCCTCCCCTGGGATCCCCTCCCCGTCTCACCCTCTGACCACAAAGGAATTTGCAGGGAGACAAACTCTCAGCACCTAGGCCCCCCACGCCCCAGACAGCCCTACTACAGCCCTGCGTACAGTCTGCAGTGGCCACAAAATTGACAAAGGGTCTCATTGTAATTGACCCTGAAGAAAGAATCCCCCCAAGATACAAAGACTTAGCCACGTGGGGGTTTACGGCAGTGCTGTACCTGCAAAGGTACTGGAAATAACCTACCTGTCCAGCTATAGGGGACAGAGAAATCAACCAGGCCCTCTCTTGTATCAAGTCCTGGGGTGACCCTCATGAC